CTGGCCTCCCAAAGTGCTGGGATTACAGGAGTGAGACACTGTACCCGGCCTTTTTTTTTTTTTTTTAAAGATGGGATCTTGCTATGTTGCCCAGGCTGGTCTCAAGCCCCTAGCCTCAACTGATCCTCCTACTTTGACCTCCCAAAGCACTGGGATTACAGGTGTGAGCCACGGCCCTGGTCCCCAACTCATGACATTTAAAAACAGCAATGTATTATTCCATTGGCCAAGGGCTTGCAGTGCCCAAACATCTCATTTCATCTGCACAACCCAATCCTACAAGTAGGTGGCAGTATGCCCATTTTAGAGATGGAAAAAACTGAGGTTCAAAGAGCTTTAGGTACTTGACCTAGGTCATGCTAAGCTAACAACAGCTACCATAGCAGGATGCAAACCTTGACTGAAGTCTTTCTACCCAATGACCATTTGAAAACCATCTGCCCTGCGAGGCACGGTGGCTCATGTCTGTAATTCCAGCACTTTGGGAGGCTGAGGTGGGAGGGTCACGTTAGCCCAGGATTTCAAGACCAGCCTGGGCAACATAACAAGACCCTGTCTCTACAAAAAATTTTAAAAAAAAATTAGCTGGGGCCAGGCATGGTGGCTCACGCCTGTAATCCCAACACTTTGGGATGCTGAGGCAGGCAGATCACCTAAGGTCAGGAGTTCGAGACCAGCCTGGCCAAGGTGGCGAAACCTGTCTCTACTAAAAATACAAAATTTAGCCGGGTGTGGTGGTGGGTGCCTTTAGTCCCAGCTACTCAGAAGGCTGAGGCAGGAGAATCACTTGAACCCGGGAGGCAGAGGTTGCAGTGAGCCGAGATCGGACCATTGCACTCCAGCCTAGGCAAGAAGAGCGAAACTCTATTAAAAAAAAAATATATATATATATATATATATATATGTACGTGTGTGTGTGTGTGTGTGTGTATATATATATATAAATTAGCTGGGCATGGTAGTGCATGCCTGTGGCCCCGACTACTCAGGAGGCTGAGGTAGGAGGATGCCTTGAGCCCAGAAATTCCAGGCTGCAGTGAGCTGTGATGGTGCCAATGCACTCCAGCCTGGGTAACAGAGCAAGATCCTGTTAAAAAAATAAATAAAAAAGAGAGAGGAAGGAAGGAAGGAAAGAAGGAAGGGAGGGAGGGAGGGAGGGAGGGAGGAAGGAAGAAGGAAGGAAGGAAGGGAAGGAGGGAGAGGAGAGGGGAGGGGAGAGAAAGGAAGGAAGGAAGGAGAGAGAGAGAAAGAAAGAAAGAGAGAGAAAGAAAGAAAGAGAAAGAAAGAAAGAAAGAAAGAAAGAAAGAAAGAAAGAAAGAAAGAAAGAAAGAAAGAAAGAAAGAAAGAAAGAAAGAAAGGCTATCTGCTCTATGATTTATGCCATTTTGTTTGAAATCAAGCCACTTTTTTACATGACAAAATGGGACCAGGGACACATTATGCTTGAAGCTGCTTTGGTGTGTTATGTTTTTCCAATAGACAACAAGATCAATAGCTATTTACATTTTTAAAAGAAGCATTTATCCACGTACTCTGAAAAACTGTGCGTGGTGAGCCCTTCTGAAGAGTAGGGAACCCTGGGCTGCTTCGCCTCTGGGTTTGACAGCGGATCCCATCCCCCAAGGCTCCCCCGGGTGTAGGGAACAGGAGCCTGGATTTATAGCATCCTCTCTGGGGTGTCAGGGCCAGCGGGGCAGCATACGATGTTTACTCAGATACCTGCAAGGACTCCCACTGGGCTGGCTCTCATCTTTTCTTGCCCAAGATATGTCAGAGCAAAGGTGCAAGCTCCAAAATAAAAGATGAGACACTCGCTGTCTCCCTCCCTCAATGTACTTACCAGTGGGAGCTGGAACAGCCTGTACTGCCCGGCTCCCCACTCCCCAGCTCCACCCCCATCTCTGGCCTGGCTCCCACCTCTGCCTCCTCTGAGGGAGGCCAGATACAGGAGAAAGAGGGAGGCTCAGCCAGGCCAAGAGGCTGTCCTGACATGTTTATATTTACAGGAGGATGAAAACCAGAGACACAAAAAAAACCTTCGGGGGCAGAGACAGAAAAGACAGTAGGAGGTTGTCCAGGCACCGGGGGTAGGAACGGAGCCATTTGGGGGATAAGTGGGGATTTGAAAGGAGGCTGCCACCCAAGTCACATGAGGGCCAGCCAGAGCTAGAGCTGTGGCTCCTTAGAAAGAGACTGAAAAAGAGGGACCCTGGTGATCAAAAGGCAGAGGGAGGAAGAGGAGGCAGAGGAGGAGTCAGCAGGGAGGTGGGAGGGAAACGAGGATGGTGGCCACAAAGGAGAGATTCAGGAAGAAGGCAGGCTGTGGAAACAGTAGAGTGAGTCCTTAGGAAGCTAAACCTAAAATTAGCCAGGCACAGTGGTTCACGCCCATAATCCCAGCACTTTGGGAGGCCAAGGCGGGTGAATCATGAGGTTAGGAGTTCAGGAGAGCAGCCTGGCCAAGATGGTGAAACCCTGTCTCTACTAAAAATACAGGCCGGGCGCGGTGGCTCAAGCCTGTAATCCCAGCACTTTGGGAGGCCGAGGCGGGCGGATCACGAGGTCAGGAGATCGAGATCATCCTGGCGAACACGGTGAAACCCCGTCTCTACTAAAAAAATACAAAAAACTAGCCGGGCGAGGTGGCGGGCGCCTGTAATCCCAGCTATTCGGGAGGCTCAGCCAGGAGAATGGCGTAAACCCGGGAGGGGGAGCTTGCAGTGAGCTGAGATCCGGCCACTGCACTCCAGCCTGGGTGACAGAGCGAGACCCTGTCTCAAAAAAAAAAAAAAAAAAAAAAATTAGCCTAGTACGGTGGCAGGCGCCTTTTATTCCAGCTACTCGGGAGGCTGAGGCAGTAGAATTGTTTGAACCCAGGAGGCAGAGATTGCAGTGAGCCGAGATAGCACCGTTGCACTCCAGCCTGGGCGACAGAGTGAGACTGCATCTCAGAAAAATAAAAATAAAATAAAAAAAGAAAGTTAAACCTAAAATTGCCACGCAATTGTACCACTGCACTCCAGCCTAGGTGACAGAGCGGGAGGCTGTCTCAAAAAACAAAATCAAAGAGTTTGGGCGCAGTGGCTCACGCCTGTCATCCCAGTACTTTGGGAGGCCGAGTGGGAGAGGATCACCTGAAATCAGGAATTTGAGACCAGCCTGGGCAACATGATGAAACCGTGTCTCTACTGAAAATAGAAAAATCAGCCCGACGTGGTGGTGCACACCTGTATCTCCAACTACTCAGGAGGGTGAGGCACAAGAATCGTTTGAGGCCGGGCGCGGTGGCTCAAGCCTGTAATCCCAGCACTTTGGGAGGCCGAGACGGGCGGATCACGAGGTCAGGAGATCAAGACCATCCTGGCTAACCCGGTGAAACCCGGTCTCTACTAAAAAATACAAAAATCTAGCCGGGCGAGGTGGCGGGCGCCTGTAGTCCCAGCTACTCGGGAGTCTTGAGGCAGGAGAATGGCGTGAACCCGGGAGGCGGAGCTTGCAGTGAGCTGGGATCCGGCCACTGCACTCCAGTCTGGGCGACAGAGCGAAACTCCGTCTCAAAAAAAAAAAAAAGAATCGTTTGAACCCAGGAGGGAGAGGTTGCAGTGAGCCAAGATGGTGCCACTGCACTCCAGCCTGGGTGACAGAGCGAGACTCTGTCTCAAAAAATAATAATAATAATAATAAACCATACAATCCAGCAATTCCACTTCTGGATATCTTCCCAGAAGAACTGAGAGCAAGGACTCACCGATATCTGCACACTGATGTTGATAGCAGCGTTATTCACAAGAGCCAATAGATGGAAAGAGCCCAGGTGTCCATTGACGGATGGATGAATAAATGCGATGTGATCCATCCACACAATGGAATACAAGTCAACCTTAAAAAGGAAGGAAATTCTGATACACGCTGCAATGTGGAGGAACCGTGAGGATGCTGTGCTCGGTGAAATAAACCAGACACAAAAGGACAAATACTGTCTGATTCCCCTCGTAGGAGGTCTCTGGACTTGTCGGGTTCAAGATTTACCAACCCCCGCTTTTTTTTTTTTTTTTTTTTTTGGAGACAGGGTCTTTCTTTGTCACCCAGGCTACAGTGCGGTAGCATGATCACAGCTCACTGCAGCTTCGACCTCCAGGCTCAAGTGATTCTCCCACCTCAGACTCCCAAGTAGTCTGCCGCCATGCCCAGCTCAATTTAAATTTTTTTTTTTTTTTTGTAGAGATAGGGTCTTGTTGTGTTGTCCAGGCTGGTCTCAAACTCCTGGGCTCAAGCGATCCTCCCAGATGGCTGGGATTCCAAGGCATGAGCCACCACGCCAGGCCTGGTCAGATTCATGGAGACAGAAAGTAGAAGGGTGGGTACCAGGGGCTGGGGAGGGAAATGAGGAGCGAGTGTTTCATGGGAACGAAATTTTAGTTTGGGAAGATGAGAAAATTCTGGAGACACATGGAGGTGCTGGTTGCACAGCAATGGGAATGTGCTTAATGACGCTGAACTGGGCACTTAAAAATGGTTAAGAGATGGGCCCGGGAACGGTGGCTCCCGCCTGTAATCCCAACACTGGGAGGCTGAGGCAGGCAGATCACTTGAAGTCAGGAGTTCAAGACCATCCTGGCCAACATCGTGAAGCCCCGTCTCTACTAAAAAATATATATAAATTCTCCAGAAGCGGTTTTACAGGCACATGCCTGTAGTCCCAGCACTTCGGGAGGCCGAGGCAGGCGAATCCCCTGAGGTCAGGAGTTCGAGACCAGCCCGGCCAACATGGTGAAACCCGTCTCTACTGAAAATACAAAAATTGGCTGGGCATAATGGAAGGTGCCTGTAATCCCAGCTTCTCAGGAGGCTGAGGCAGAAGAATCGCTTCAACCCGGGAGGTGGAGGTTGCAGTGAGCTGAGATCGTGCCACTGTACTCCAGCCTAGGCAGCAAAGCAAGACTCCGTCTCAAAAAAAACAAGAAAAAAAAAAAAAGGTTAAGATGATAAATTTTATGTGATGTGTATTTCACTGCAAGAAAAAGAAGGGAGGGGCCAAATCTATAAAGACATCAACATGGGTGAGTTCAGGTAAAAAGGCAAACCCTGCGTAGCTCCTCCTTGCTCATCCCAAGACAGGTGTGGACACAGACCCCCTGCCTCCTGCCGGCCAAGATGGGCAGCTGACAAATTGAGAGCATCCACCAAGGGCTGCCTGAGATCACATGGATGCCTGGAGCCACACCTCAGCACTGGCCTCACATGGAGCCATGGGGGAAGCCTACCCACCCACCTACCCACCAAATCCTGTGTGCAGACAGTCCTAACAAAGGCCTGAAAAAGGACAATTCCTGTCCTCCGGATCCTGACAGCCCAGAGGAGGGGCATCTTACCAACCTTGAGGAGTCAGGAAAGCAACCTGGAGGGCATGTCCAAGTTGGGTTTTGACGGATGCATAGGAGTTCATCAGATAGACTCAGGATGGGCTGGGTGGGAGAGGAGGTTTTGCAAGGAGAAGAAAAGGTAGGTGCCCTGGCTGGACAGAATGACAAATAGAATGACTGGGAGGAGAAGAGGGAAGTGAAGGACAAAAGAAGGGAAGGAAAAAGAAATAGGAACAGGAGCAGGAACTGTGCCAAAAAAACAACCAAAAAGAAAAAAAGATAATCAGATAGAAACTCAGTGACGAGAAGTACTTTGCCAAGGCTAGAAGTAGGGGAATTTGGCATGGAAGACCAGACTTCTGGTCCTTTTGTGGGGATGAGGTCTTGAAGGTCCAGGTTAGGCAGGGCACTGGGGGACTACTCCCTCCCATTCCATTCCACTCGCTGTGAGAAGGGCGCTAAGCCCAGGATGCCGACAGGTGGGGGACAGACAGGGTCTGAACGTTGGGAGCAGGGACCTTGTGGTCAAGAGACCTCAGGCTCTGCTGCCCCTTGGTGAACATCTTCTCTCTCCTCACCCTCCCAACCTACAGGAGGATGATTTTCCCAGGCGGCTCAGCGAGAGTGCGGAGGACCTCAGCTTGGATTTGGGGGCCCTTCAGGGCAGCGAGTATCTGCAGGACCTGGGCCTTGGGGCCCCCTCCCACAGCCAGCCTGGGGAGGCCCCAGATAGCCGCGCCCCCAGTGAAGAACCAGGAAGGGATTCCCTTTTCTCCAACTTGGTGAGGTCCCAGGACCTGTCAAGGCGGCGCAGCTGGGAAAGGTCGCGGAGCTGCTCAGAGAGCTGGCGGAGGTCAGTTCCCCGCTGCTGCCTGCCTCCCACAATGCACCCCAGGGACAGGGCAGGGGTCCAGAAGGCCAGAGCCAGGTCTTGAGACAAGCTGCCCCTTGCACCTGCCATGGTCCCCAACCTTTTTGGCACCAGGGACCGGTTTCATGGAAGACAATTTTTCCATGGACCCAGGGGGACAGGGGATACTTTCTGGATAATTCAAGCACATTCCATTTATCGTGCACTTTATTTCTATTATTATTACATTGTAATACATAATTAAATAATTATACAACTCATCATCATGTAGAATCAGTGGGAGCCCTGAGCTTGTTTTCCTGCACTAGCTGGTCCATTTGTGGGGTGATGGGATCATCAGGCATTAGATTCTCTTTTTTTTTTGAGATGGAGTCTCACTACATTGCCCAGGCTAGAGTGCAGTGGCGTGATCTCAGTTCACTGCAATCTCCACCTCCCAAGTCCAAGCAATTCTCCTGCCTCAGTCTCCCGAGTAGCTGGGATTACAGGCGTGCACCACCACACCAGGCTAATTTTTGTATTTTTAGTAGAGATGGGGTTTCACCATGTTGGTCAGGCTGGTCTCGAACTCCTGAACTCATGATCCGCCTGCCTTGGCCTCCCAAAGTGCTGGGATTACAGGTGTGAGCCACTGCGCCCGTCCGTCCGTCACCTTTTAGCCTGGGCGACAGGGTGAGACTCCGTCTCAAATAAATAAATAAATAAATAAATAAATAAATAAATAAATGGTCACGGACCAGTACCTACCAGTCTGTGGCTCAGGGGGTGGGGATCCCTGTTGTAGGGCCGTGAGGGGCATCTGCACCATCAGAGGCAGCCCAAAAAACCCTCTTCTAACTTGCACACGCATGAACATAGAGCCTGTGCCAGTGACTGAGCATGCATGCACAAGCCCAAACTGAAAACTGCACGTGAGGCCGGGCGCAGTGGCTCACACCTGTAATCCCAGCACCTTGGGAGGCCAAGGTGGGTGGATCACCTGAGGTCAGGAGTTCAAGACCAGCCTGGTCAACATGGCAAAACCCCCTGTCTACTAAAAATACAAAAATTAGCTGGGCATGGTGGTGCACACCTGTAGTCCCGGCTACTTGGGAGGCTGAGGCCTGAGAATCGCTTGAACCCAGGAGGCAGAGGTTGCAGTCAGCCAGGATTGTGCCACTTGCACTCCAGCCTGGGCGACAGAGCAAGACTCTATCTAAAAAAAACAAAAAAACAAAAAACAGAAAGAAAGAAAAAAAAAATCGACTGCACGCACACACTGCAAGCACACACACTGTAAGCACACAAAAACCTAATCTTGCACACCTGCTAAGAGTACAGCCATGCTCAGCCCCCATCAGACCCATACATATAAGCCTAAATGTGATCTGCATCCGTGCACTTATGATCAAACCGGAAATGTGTGAGATGCCAGGCACCCCACAGTAGCAGCACCAAATAGTAGGAGGGGCGCTCTAGCCACCCCTAACCTGTGTCTCTCAACCCCTTCCAAGTCATCCCAAATAGAAATTCAGGTCGGGTGCAGTGGCTCATGCCTGTAATCCCAGGACTTTGGGAAGCAGAGTCAGGGGGATCACTTGAGGTCAGGAGTTTGAGACCAGCCTGGCCAACGTGGTGAAGCCCTGTCTCTACTAAAAATGTAAAAATTAGCTGGGTATGGTGGTGCATGCCTGTAATCCCACCTACTCGGGAGGCCGAGGTAGGAGAATCACTTGAACCTGGGAGGCGGAGGTTGCTGCGAGCTGAGATTGTGCCACTGCACTCCAGCCTGGGTGACAGAGTGAGACTCTGTCTCAAAAAAAAAAAAAAAAAAAAGAAAGAGGGAAGGGAAAGGGAAGGGGAAGGGGAAGGGAAAATGAAAAGAGAAGAAAAGAGAAAAGAAAAGAAAACCAGTCTGTGTAAAAACGATCTGAGATGCAAACATAGCTCCAACAAATATAACCAGGCTGGCTTTCTTTGTACTCTCCCCCTTGTCACCAACTCCTCTCATATTGGGAGGTCTAGACCCCTCTCTGTGGCCTGTGCACCCTTCCCTGTCCTGGAAGGACCCCCTTACATGTTCTTTCAAGTCCCCTTGGATGCCTGGGGCAGCAGCCAGGTGGGCAAGACCTGCCGAAGCCCCAGTACCCTGTCTTCTCCCACTAGGCTCAGCCTCGATGCCTCAGCGGTGGATGAGGAACCCTGTCTCCCTCGAACACTGGCCAGCCTTGCTTTGAACCTGCCGGGAGAAGGGCTGAAGACTTGGACTCAAGGGTGTCTGTCTGGGGGCGGGACCCCTGCAGAGAGCCCAGGCAAAGTGGGTGTAACCTGCAGCCACCCCTGACAATAGCATAGTTTTGGGTCCAGAAGCCAGTGCTATGGGTAGGAAGGAGAGACTCGCCAGGGCTGGTGGTGGTTACCCACGATGGTGGGGTGGGGGGTGCTTATCTACGGCGTGGCCTGTGCCTCGGTAGTCTCTGGGTCCTAAGATTCCAGCCCAGGCCTGAAGGGTTTTCCGTGGGTAAGCAGCTAGGGCAGGCTATGCATGGCCATGACTGCAGCCCAAGGGCTGGAGACAAGAGGGTGGGGGATGTCTTATCTGGCAGTTTCAGCCAGGCTTGGAGGATCTTAGCCTGAAGTGTAGCCTGCAGCCGGAAGGCAGCTGTGTCTGTGGTTGGGGTAGGCAGCTAAGGAGAATTTGTCTCTGACCTGAGATCTCAGCTCACACCTGAGGAATATGTGCTTGGAGTGGCTGGTGGCTGAGACATCTCTGGCTGTGATCACAAATGACCCTGTGGGGAAATTTCTGGCCATCGTTGGAACCTGTGGCCCTGATACCTGGGGCTCCAGCTCATAGCTGGAGGCTCCTCGGCCAGGACTACATCTCTGTGACTGGGGAGGGGGTGGCTGAACCCATGCCCTATGGCCAGGGGGGAATGGCTGGAGGCTGAGGCTTGGATGAGTGTGTCACCCCGTTTCTGTGGAGGTGGCCCTGGCTGTGGGTGGGGACCCTCAACCTAGGGAACCTGCCTGCCGTCCAGGCTGCCTTCCCAGCTTAGTGAGATGTTTAATTCCCTGCAGGAATGTGACAGCCCCAAGAAAAGAGTGAGGTCAAGGTCCGTTCCTGTGTCCTATGAGATCCGCTCCCCGGAAATCTCTCCGGATTTGGAAGTGCCTGCTCCACCTGTTCAAGGTAGCTAGCCTGGGAGTTTCCTTCATTCAAACTAAGTCAGGGAAAGAGGAACCTGGCCAACATGGTGAAACCCTGTTGGGGTTTCATCCTTCATCCTGGAGAGTCCCCTTGATGGGGCTCCCAATGGGCCCCAGGGAATGGAAGGGAGCTGGCTTAGGGTCCCCTGGGCAGGGACTGGGCAGAATGTTAGGGGAAGCCAGAGAGGGGAAGGGACCTCCAGCATCTGTCCCTCCTCCTCTCCCTGCAGCCCTCGAGCCAGTGTGAGATTGCCCCATTGCAATGACCTTGTCTCCGAGATTCTCTCTCTTCTCTGACTCTTTTTTTTTTTTTTTTTTTTTTTGAGACAGAGTCTTGCTGTGTCACCCGGGCTGCAGTGCAGTGGTGCAATCTCAGCTCACTGCAACCTCCGCCTCCCGGTTCAAACGATTCTCTTGCCTCAACCTCCCAAGTAGCTGGGACTACAAGCACCCGATACCACGCCTGGCTAATTTTTGTATTTTTAGTAGAGACAGGGTTTCGCCATGTTGGCCAGGCTGGTCTCAAAGTCCTGGCCTCGAGTGATCGGCTCGCCTCAACCTCCCAAAGTGCTGGGATTATAGGCATGAACCACCGCGCCCGGCATTCTGACTGTTTCTTTATCTCTTTCTTTATCTCTGAATTTTTATCCTTGCACCTCTCTGGCATCAGACAAACCTGGAGTCTAAACACGTAACAAGTCTCTGAGCCTCTATTAGAGGCTTCCTCTATTAGAAGAGGCGCGGCAGCTCACACCTGGAATCCCAGCACTTTGGGAGGCCAAGGCAGGTGGATAGCTTGAGCCCAGGAGTTTGAGGCCAGCCTGGGCAACATGGCAAAACCTTGTCTCTACTAAAAATGTAAAAACAATTAGCTGGGCATGATGGTGTGCACCTGTAGTCCCAGCTACTTGGGAGGCTGAGATGGAAGGATCGCTTAAACCCAGGAGGTCAAGGCTGCAGTGAGCTCTGATGGCAGGACTGCACTCTACTATGGGTGACAGAGTGAAACTGTCTCAAAAAAAAAAAAAAAAAAAAAAAAAAAAAAGGCCTGGTGCGGTGGCTCACGCCTGTAATCCTAGCGCTTTGGGAGGCTGAGGCAGGTGGATCACATGAGGTCAGGAGTTTGAGACCAGCCTGGCCAACATGGTGAAACCCCATCTCTACTAAAAATACAAGAATTAGCCGGGCATGGTGGTGCGTGCCTGTAATCCCAGCTAGAGGCTGAGGCAGGAGAATCACTTGAACCCAGGAGGCGGAGGTTGCAGTGAGCCGAGATTGAGCCATTGCACTCCATCCAGGGCGACAGAGTGAGACTCTGTCTAAGGAAAAAAAGGGGAGGGGAGATAATAAGCATTATCTCCTTAAGGCCACTTGGAGAGTCTGCTGAGCTCACACATGTAAAGCACTTAGTAGGGTGTAAGCACTCACGAGACACTGGGGACACCTGCGTTTGTCCCTGGCTCTCTGTCCTCTTCTCGTCTCTGTTCCCTGAGAGTACAGGCCTTGTCTGCATGGCCTCCAGTTCTGCAGGGACTCAGGGTGGCATCCGGGAGGGCTCTGCTGGGCTGGTCGTGTCCCAGAACTCCTCACAACTGTGCTTCCTGGGATGGGGGTGCTTCTTCCAGGCCTGGAACCTCCAGTGCTGGAGTGCATGGAAAAAGACCACGTGGAACCAGATCACGTGTGAGTTTCTGCCTCGTGGTGGGGGAGGGACCACCAGGGAACAGACCGGAAAGTCGAGGAGGGCTGCGGGAGGAGGGCTGCGGGAGGAGGGCTGCCGGGGTGCAGCGTTGCTGGCCGTAAGTGACCAGGGTCAGACACTGTCCCACTAGTCCCCCATAACCTCATCTTCTTTCTGACACCGTCCTTCTCCCGGTGGGAGAGGCCCAGGCCCCTCAGAAAGGTTCTCAGTGTAGCCTTGGGAGATAATTGTGGCTTTTTTTTTTCTTGTGAGACTTGGTCTCCCTCTGTCACCCAGGCTGGAGTGCAGTGGTACAATCTCGGCTCACTGCAGCCTCTGACTCCCAGGTTCAAGCGATTTTCCTGCCTCAGCCTCCAGAGTGGCTGGCTTTGAGTAGGGTCTGCATCAGGACCTGAGGCCTGGTTGGGCAACCCCAGCTTGTCTCGGGGAGAGTGTCTGTCACCTGGAGCTAATGTGGGCTGTTCTAATCCCACCCCCAACCCCCACAGGCTGATTGTCCAGCAGGTGCTTCAAGAACTTCGACAGTACCATGGGTAAGTGGGAACAGGGCATGAGGGGACAGATGTGGAGGAACAAAGTGGGAGACAAGAGTAGGAGACACGCAGGGGCGTGTACAGGTGTGGGAGACAGGGGTAGAGAAGACTGGGTGAGGGCTGGGTGAGGTGCCTCATGCCTGGAATCCCAGCACTTTGGGAAGCCGAGGAGGGTGGATCACCTGAGGTCAGGAGTTCAAGACAAGCCTGGCAAACATGGCAAAACCCTGTCTCTACTAAAAATACAAAAATTAGCCAGGTATGGTGGCGGGCACCTGTAATCCCAGCTACTTGGGAGGCTGAGGCAGAAGAATCGCTTGAACCCGGAAAGTGGAGGTGGCAGCGAGCTGAGATCACGCCATTGTACTCCAGCCTGGGTGACACAGCGAGACTCTGACTTAAAAAAAAAAGGAAGAAGAAAGGGAAGGCTGCATTCAAGGGAAGAAAAATGAGGCAGGAGAGGAGGGAGGAGGCTAGAAGACAAGAGGTGGAGAGGGGCAGGCTGCCCCGGCACAGGGGGCCCTTGGAGCAAACAGGTAAAGGTGCCTCCTGCCTAAGACACTGCCATCTGTTACAAAATCTTGTAGCCGGGTGCAGTGGCTCACACCACTGTAATCCCTTGGGAGGCCAAGGTGGGAGGATCATTTGGAGGCCAGGAGTTTGAGACCAGCTTGGGAAAAATAGTGAGACCCTCTTTCTACAAAAAAATTTAAAAATTTGCTGGGTGAGGTGGCTCATGCCTGTAATCCCAGCAATTTGGGAGGCTGAGGTGGGAGGATTGTTTGAGCCTAGGAGTTTGAGACCAGCCTGGGCAACAGAGTGAGACTCTGTCTGTATAATTTTTTTGTTGTTGTTAGCTGGGCATGGTGGCACATACCTGTAGTCCCAGCTACTCTGGGGGGTGTGGGGGTGTTGACACAGGAGAATGGCTGAGTCCAAGCATTGAAGGCTGCCATGAGCCATGATTATGCCACTGCACACCAGCCTGAGCAACAGAGCCAAACCCTGTTTAAAAAAAAATTGCGTAAGATTTAAGTACTTGGTTAAAAAAAAATTAAAAATTAGCCAGGCATATTGGCATATGCCTATAGTCCCAGCTACTCAGGAGACTGAGGCGAGAGAATCGCTCAAGCCCCACAGGTCGAGGCTGCAGTGAGCTGTGATTGTACCACTACACTCCAGCCTGGGCAACAGAGCGAGACCCCATCTCTATTTAAAAAGAAAAAAAAATCTTCCTGCTAACACTGATTTTGTTCAGCCAAGACACATTACTGCCCTCTGCTGGAAAACCTGTCACAATGTCTCACACACAAGCCCAGAGTGTCAAGGACGGGTGAGCTCTTAGACGGGGTACCTGGTGCCTGCCTGTACTTGGTAGCACTGGGGTAGGTGAGTGGGAGAGGAGGCTACCGACCCAGGTATCTGTCCCCTCTGATCCTGCAGGGCCCGGCAGAGGGCTTGCATGTCACCCAGCTCCGGAGAAACCCACTCGAACCTGACCTGGTTTGAATTCCTGTCGGAGTAAGTATACAGACCTGCTGCAAGTGAGAACGGCAGGGAAGGGCAGCCTTGGATTTGAACAAGGGTTTACGAATGGTCCTTTGGGCCAGGCCCCCTGTGCTGGAGGCAGGAGCTGGGGCCCCCATCAGGGCAATGGGGGGAGCTGGCAGGGAAGGGAGGGATGAGGCTCTCGTATACCCTGAGAGAACAGAGGAAGACTTCCTGGAGGAGGTGACAATGTAAGCAGGGTTCTGACGGAAGGGTAGGAGTTTGCCAATATGTGCAGATGAGGATGAAGGAAACAAAATGGAATTAGAAGGCTTAGGGAATGACATCAGAGTAGGGCGGGGAGGAGGGAAGGTGGGAGAAGTCAGCAGAGATCAGACCACCTCAGCCACACGACAGAGCTCAGACTATCCTAAAGAGCAGTGGGGCTCGGGCGTGGTGACTCATGCCTATCATCCCAGCACTTTGGGAGGCCAAGGAGGGTGGATCATCTGAGGTCAGGAGTTCAAGATCAGCCTGGCCAACACAGTGAAACCCAATCTCTACTAAAAATACAAAAATTAGCCAGACATGGTGGCGGGTGTCTGTAATCCCAGCTACTCGGGAGGCTGAGGCAGGAAAATCACTTGAACCCAGGAGGCGGAGGTTGCAGTGAGCCAAGATCGTGCCCTTGCACTCCAGCCTGGGCAACAGAGTGAAACTCCCTCTCAAAAATAAATAAATAAATAAATAAATAAATAAATAAATAAATAGCAGGGGGGCCTACGAGCATGAGCATCATCAGTTCTGGTGATAGGATGGGGACAGGATGAGGATCACAGACAGGGCTGAAGGTCCCTGAATCCCTCTCTCTCCCTCTTTTCCTCCCTCCCTCTCTCATTCACTCATTCATTCAACAAACATTTACGGATATTTACAAAGTTCCAGAAGCCACTCAGACTGGGATCGGGGGCACAGACTGGAGAAATGGTGTCTCCGTCCAGGAAATAGATCCTACCAGAGCAGGAATCATGTCTGCCTTATATGTCACTGACCTAATATTTATTAAATGAGGGTGTGCCTGAAATCGAGGAAGCCATGCCAGTGACCCGGGGATGGAGTTGGGGATGGGGGAGGAGATAGAAAAACGAGCAGGATTTAAAGACCAATTAGGGCCGGATGCGGTGGCTCATGCCTGTAATCCCAGCACTTTGGGAGGCTGAGGCGGACGGATCACCTGAGGTCAGGAGTTCGAGACCAGCCTGGCCAACACGGTGAAACCCCGCCTCTACTAAAAATACAAAACAGGTTGGGCGCGGTGGCTCACGCCTGTAATCCCAACACTTTGGGAGGCCGAGGCGGGCGGATCATGAGGTCAGGAGATCAAGTCTATCCTGGCTAACACGGTGAAACCCTGTCTCTACTGAAAATACAAAAAATTAGCCGGGCGTGGTGGCGGGCGCCTGTAGTCCCAGCTGCTCAGGAGGCTGAGGCAGGAGAGTGGCGTGAACCCAGGAGGCGGAGCTTGCAGTGAGCCGAGATCGTACCACTGCACTCCAGCCTGAGAGACAGAGCAAGACTCAGTCTCAAAACAAAAACGAAAACAAAAATAAAAACAAAAAACAAAAAAAAAACTAACCATTAGCTGTGGCACACACCTGTGGTCCCAGCTACTCGGGAGGCTGAGGCATGAGAATCGCTTGAACCTGGAGGCGGAGGTTGCAGTGAGTGGAGATTGCACCACTGTGCTCCAGCCTGGGTTACAGAGTGAGACTCTGTGCCAACAAATAAATAAATAAATAAATAAATAAGGTCAATTAGATACCGGGTAGGGGTATGGGGTGTGAATTAGAGGTAGAAATCACAAGTGAACAGAGCTGAAATTCCCAGCCCAGGCATTGAGGGACCTCAAACCTGAATCATGTTGCATTTCTGTCTGCAAACCCAGTCCCCAAAGCTCCCAGAACTTTGCAAACATTCATTCATGTTTGCTGAGTGAATAAGTAAGAGAGGGAAGGAGGGAGGGAAAGAGGAAGTCAAGGGCCAGGGAAGGGGTAAGGCAGGACCGGGAGGCCACAGGGAGACGGGTTCCAGGTGGATTCCTGGAGCAACCCACAGGACTGCCTCAGAACGGCCCCTGGCCCCCTCTAGTGGACCTTCCCTCTCGTCCCCCAGGAGCGAGGACAGTGCTGGCAAGAATGAGAAGAGTGACAAGAGTACCAGCGTGAAGCGCAGGCTGAGCTGCCTCCGCAGTCGAGTGACCAGACAGAAGGAGAAGGTCAGGGGAGCTGAGCCACGGGGGTCCCCCCTCTGCCTTCCCCAGCTTGGCATGCTGCCCTTAACCCGGGAGCCCTGTGACTGGGGCTGGCGGTGCGCTGCGTACACAGTACCTAAGAGGGCCAGCCCCTGCAGAGGGCATCCTGAGACCTGCCTCTGTCCCATCCAGGGGAAGAGCCTGGCACATCTAAAGGACAAGGGCCAGGATGCACGAGAGAGGCGGGAGTGTGTCAATGGGCACCAGCTCGTGCAAGGGACCTTCTCCAGCCCCTCCAGCTGCCCCCTGTGTGGCAAACCCTTCTTGAGCTCGGGTAAGTCTGGTGGCCCAATCCATCCTCCTGGAGGGCAGTCACCTTCTCTTCTTCACATCCTTTCAATCATACTTCTGGGTTCTCTTGATGTGTGCATCCTCCTTCTGTTTTGCCCTCTCCTTGGTGGCTCCCTGGAAAGAACCAGGGATGGCTGCCTGGGCACAGGGTCCCTTGGGCTAACTCAGGACTGGCAACAGTCCCTTTAAGTCCCAGCTTTTGACATTGTGGGACTCCTCCTGCAGCATCTGGACTTCAGCCATGGATGGGTTTGCTAGGGCTGTCATGACAAAGCACCACTTACCAGGTGGCTTAACCATCAGAGATATATTCCCTTGCAGTTCTGGAGGCTTAAAGTCTAAGATCAAGGGCTGAGCTTCATATGAAGGTGCCAGGAAATGATCCGTTCCAGGCATCTCTCCTGGCTTCATCCCTTAGCATCACGTGGCCCTGCCTGTATCCCAATTTCCCCTTTCTATAAGGATACCAGTCACATTGGATTAGGGGCCCACCAGACTCCAGTGTGGCCTCATCTTAGCTTATTTACATTAGCAAAGACTCTATTTACAAATAAGGTCACATCCTAAAGGACAGAAGTGGGGGAGTAGGATTGCAACATATGAATTTGATGGTGGGGAGGCATACCATTTTATCCATAACAGGTCATTTTCTGCTTCCTGGGGCTCTTGGTGGTTATGGGGTTGGGAGGGGAAGAGTCTCTACTCAAGAAAGAGTACTGGATTCAAGAGACTCCCAGAAAGAGATGGCTCTGGTCATCGCTGGGATTTAGAACTCAGTCTTTTTGCAAATAAGCTCCACTTTGAAGGGAATGAAGAAGAGGAGGTGGTGGCGATTGCGTGTTAGAAAAGATGCGTGCGCTGTTTGTAGCAAGAATCCAAACCGCCGTCTGTGGCTGGCAGAACTCAGGCTAGTTCACAGTTTCTGGACCTTAGCGCTGTCAACATTTGGGTCCAGGTAATTCTTTGTTCTAAGGGGCTATCCTGTGCATTGTAGGATATTAAGTAGCATCCCTGGCACCTGTCCTCTAAATGCCAGTAGTAACCACCTCCTGCCTCCAGTTGCAACAGCCAAAAATGTCTCCAGCCATGGCCAAAAGTCTCCTGGGGGGCAGAATTGCCTCCAGACGGGAATCAACGGGTGAATGAGATGGGCAAGCAGATCCTAGATAGGCTTAGACCATGCAGTGAGAGCAACATCTCCACCCCGGGGCAAGTGCTTCTGAGCAACCTGACCGCAGGCTTTGCATTTGTTGGCTTTACCTGCTCCAGGCACGGGAATTTTCCTTCTTTCTCGTTTCCCTCTCTTTCGGCAGTGCCGTTGCTGGCCATGGGGCTGGGCGTGGCTGTTGGTGGTCAGTGGTGTCAAGGCTGTTCCTCTTTGAGCTTTTCCTTTGTTAGGCAATCCCCAGAGCCGTACTCAGCCGAGGCTGGCGTGGGCTTTTTGCAAAATCTTTTTTTTTTTTTTTTTTTTTTTTTTGCGCGACAGGATTTCACTCTGTTGCCCAGGCTGAAGTGCAATGGTGTGATCTCAGCACACTGCAGCCTCTGCCTCCTGGGCTCAAGCAATCCTCCCACTTCCTCCTCCCGAGTAGCTGGGTCTACAGGTGTGCACCACCGTGCTTGGCTAATTTTTTAACTTATTTTTGTAGAGACAAGGTCTCACTCTATTGCCCAGGCTGCTTTCAAACTCCTAGACTCAAGCGATCCTCCTGCCTCAGCCTCCCAAAGTGCTGGAATTACAGGTGTGAGTCACCCCACCGTGCCCAGCCTTTGCCAAATCTTCAGTGCAGCAACAAAGTCGGCGTGTTGAAGTCCTTAATCTGGGACAGCAGGTGACTCCCTCTTTTCCCTGACACCTTGTTCTCTTCTGCAGCGCGTGAGGTGTGCTCAATCTATCTTAGGCATCAGATGCAAGGGGCAGGTAGGAGGTTGGAAGTTGGGTGAGTAAAGCCAGAGATCTAGAACCAAGGCTGCACAGAGCAGGTTCTGGGAGCCTGCTCTTGGGTGCCCTTGCTTGAACAGCTCCAGGTTGAGCTGAACCAGGCACTTCCTTCTATGATTGCTGGTTCACTATCATTCTCCATTTGTTTCTGTTCCTGCTTTCGCTTTGCTTCTCAGAAAAATCCTGAGGTCTTTAAACTCTGATTTGGGGTCATCCAAGGTCTTGTATGTCCATGTGGCCCATGACTTAGATCATCACTGTCATCTGGAAACTTCATTATTATTATTATTATTATTTTGAGATGGAGTCCCACTCTGTCACCCAGGTTGGAGTGCAGTGGCACGATCATAGTTCACTGCAAATTTCACCTCACAGGTTCAAGTGATTCTCCTGCTCCAGCCTCCTGAGTAGCTGGGATTACAGGCACCCACCACCATGCCCAGCTAATTTTTGTATTTTTAGTAGAAACAGGGTTTCACCATGTTGGTCAGGCTGGTCTCGAACTCCTGACCTCAAGTAATTTGCCTGCCTTGGCCTGCCAAAGTGCTGGGATTACAGGTGTGAGCCACCGTACCTGGCCTATCACCTGGGAACTTTTAAAAATTTTATTGTTATTTTAGAGACAGAATCTCTCTCTCTCTCTCTCTCTCTCTCTCTCTCTCTCTCTCTCTCTCT